CTTTAAAATATATAGATGAAGAAGGTCTGTCCCATGAGAGCATAACATTTCCAGTTCCTTGGCCTTTAAAATACATATTTGGCTACCCTTAAGAGAGAGATCACATTAAATGCCAAAGCAAATCTCCCAAAATGAAAATTGATTTGTGGGCTGGATTTAAGGATAAATAAGTAACACTTATGTGATTATCTCATAGTTTGCGACGACTGCCATGGGGAAAGCTACACTGGTAAACACTGGTGTGGAAATAAGCTGAAAATCTTTACCAACAGTGTTTCACGCAGGGCAAGGGAACCAGCTACAGGTCAGGAGGAAAAACAAAGCTCTCAAAAAAAAAAAATCGTGAGGTTGTTGGATTGATTTCCTTTAGGTAGATCCTCCCATATCATCCCAATAGACAAACTCAGTCTAAAGACAATTTAATTAAGAGGCAGATGGCAGCAGGGGAGATAATCCTGCAGAGTTTGATGTAATTCGGAGATGATTAAAAACCCATCGCTTCATTCCCCAAGTGGAACGACGGCCTCACTTTAACCACGCCGAGGGTGCGAATCCCAGATTCACCCACAGGCACTAATCAGCTGGACTCATCTGGAACTACCGCAAGAGTTTTCCAAAGGAAAGATCGAGCCAATGGTCCCTCGTGACCCAGGGAGGTATTCTGTTCCTACACGATAGAGCCGTTTCAGGCAACTATAATCACGGCGCGCCTTTGGCTTCATTTACACTCTGCCGTAATGTCCGCATGATTAGCAACATCTTACGTCGAGTCTATTTTCAGGCAGGATATTTATAAAGCCAGAATATTTAAAGCGGTCACAGGCTGGTTTGGATCCACGCCAGATTTATAAATCAGTGCTGGAAATCTACAACCTTACAAACTATTTGTCACCATATAATTGTTGGATTACTGACAGCGGTGTTTAATTCAAAACAAATTTGAGCATTTAAGTGCTTCGTGATGAAAACCAACAAGAGCGTTTTGCATTTCATCAGCAAAAAATATGCACATTTTGGCACATTAAATCAGTGAGTTAGAGTATGGCGCATTAGGGAAGAAAAATCTCATTATTAATTAATATCTCAATTGTTTTCTACTATAAATCTGTGCGATTAAACGGAGAGCAAACATTTGCATATGTCTCCTGCTCCTCAGACATAAAATGCCCTAATGTGTTTGAGAAGAGATCTTAACAAACTCTCAGATTTGCCAAGACACCAATGTCTGCAAACATTTTTCAAGAATGATCTCCTATCCGCGTGCATTTAAAGGGATAGTTCACGTTAAAATTAATTTTTGGTATGTTTTAGCTTACCTCAAGGGCATCCCATTTATTTTCAATTTTGATATTTTTAGGTCAAACCGTTCTTGTCTGTCAGTCATATAATGGAGGTCTATGGTCACCACCTCAAAGAGCATGCACAGAGAAGTTCAAATTAAACATGATTTAATGACTCGTAAATGTAAGTACACATTGATGGCCTAAGACACGAAACGAGCGGTTTGTGTGAGAAAACGAACAGTATTTATATCGTTTTTACCTCTTGTAAACACAGCCACGTCTAAGTGATCTGAGGGTTACAAGAAGTAAAAACGATATAAATACTGTTTGTTTTCGCACACAAACCGCTCGTTTCGTGTCTTAGGCCATCAATGTGTACTTACATTTACGAGTCATTAAATCATGTTTAATTTGGACTTCTCTGTGTATGCTCTTTGAGGTGGTGACCATAGACCTCCATTATATGACTGATAGACACGAACGGTTTGACCTAAAAACATCAAAATCGAAAAAACTGTGGAAACAAAGACACCTACATCTTGGATGCCCTTGAGGTAAACTAAAACGTACCAAAAAATGGGTGGAGTGTCCCTTTAATAGCTCCGTATTCTTGCTGTACGTCAGCGATTCCCTCATTCTTGTCCACAGAATGAGGAACAACGGTTCAAGGAAACATAAATGAGACCTCCATCAAGTCTTCTGAGCCTAAAGAGCTTACTTTGCGCACACATTGTTGTGGTGTGCGTTCTCTGAGAAGTCTGTTCACCGGTTTCCCGTTCCAGCTCACATTACCGCCCTCCAGATTCATGCATGTGTGGCGTAATCTCCAAACTCTTTCGGTTCCCCTCACCACCGGCTACAAATCTCCTTCCCAGCAGCCTCCTCACTTCCCGAGAAATGTCTTCACACTGCCGCCTCTCAGAGGGAAAAAGACTGACCTTGACGACAAGTCCCCACTCTTAAACGCAGATTACACCAAATCTTTCTCCAGCACACGCGCTTGCAGAAATCCATTTTTCCACCTCTGATGGTTTTATATCTCAGTGGCAGCCATTCAACAGCACAGGACACTCAGATTACAGTCAAATTTACTGTGAGGCAGCATAAACACTTCTTTATCTCATTAGGCATGCATGGATTCATGAGCATGAATATTCAAACGTTCATATGAATATTCACAAAGCCCGGCTCGGTTTCTCAACCTTTACTCTTTTCTTCTTTCTCCGGTCGCACACACACAGTAATCACATGCATAAACAGAGGCAAGCGGGTGTCTTTTGCTTGAGTTCTCGAACAATTACAATCAGTTCTTTCGGGAGAGATCTACAGCGTTTCCCAGCATGCATCAGCACCTTGTGTTTGCCAGCCTGTATGTGTTAAGGGGTTGAAATCAGTGCTGTTCTGATCTCATTTTTCTCTCATTGTAGGCTGGCAGCAAAGTTCAGCTGTCAGAGAAAGCAGATATTTTAATAAATGACAGAAAAGCCATTGCAAAGAAACCATCTGCCTGTGTATGAATATTACCAGTCGATCCTGACAAGACTGTCCACATATTACTGACGGTAACATTAGCATAGTCTCACATGTAGTCTGGTCTGTTTCTTTGTTCCAAGAATCGCCCACTTGACTGACATGTAACCCGACTAATCACAGCCTGTTTTTATACACGAAAATGGAATATCGAGGTGTTCAAGCATGCATTTACTTACTATCAGGTGTTTAAAAAAGCATTGGATGGATGGATGGATAGACAGATAGATTACAAAGCCGACAGATAGACGGAGAGATAGACAGACAGACAGATAGACGGAGAGATAGACAGACAGACAGATAGACGGAGAGACAGACAGAGAGATAGACGGACAGACAGACAGACAGACAGATAGATAGATAGACAGACAGATAGACAGATAGATAGATAGATAGATAGATAGATAGATAGACAGACAGACAGACAGACAGACAGATAGACAGACAGACAGATAGACAGATAGATAGATAGATAGATAGACAGACAGACAGACAGATAGATAGACAGACAGACAGACAGACAAACAGACAGACAGACAGACAGACAGACAGTTAGCTAGATAGATATATTTGAGTAATTTTGTTGTGTTTATGACTTTTTAAAAAAATGTATATATACTTTTGATTATTTTTATTTCAGTTATTTTAGTAGATCAAGTTAAAGTAAACGAAAATAAGTTAACATTCTTATTTCAGTTAACGGTTTAATGGTTTAGGCTCTATTTTTTTAGATTTAGTTAAATAATAACCCTGACTGTAAAAAAGCATTATTTAGTTTTACAAGTATATCTATTGTCTTCCTTTCCATCATAAATGATTACATAATTAATACTTTGCAATTCCAAAAAAAAACATACCAATTTATTATTATTAGTATTATTTAAATAAAGATTAAATTATTAAAATGATTAATACAAAACAAAAAAAATGTTCCTATATTTATTTAATATTCTTGCATTTATTTATTGATGTATTTATTTACCTTGAATGGAGTTGCCGGTGTTTTACCGTAAATTTAGCAGGATGTTTTTAGAATCGAGAGAAAATGGGCATCGAGCTCAGAGACAGAAATTGAGCTCCTATCTTTTCCCTGTTTTTGGAGAAAGAGATTCACACATGCAGAATCTAGTGTGTCGTTTGTCTTCAGTCATGCGAAATGCCGTCCGTCAGTTTTACTGCAGCCTGGTTTCCTCTCCGCACAGTCACGATAAATGATGGAGAACAGAAGCAAGTCAAGGAAAAAGAGAGAGAGAGAGAGAGAGGGCTGTAATGTTTCAAATCCTGGCTTATGGGTTGGAATTCATACGCTATTATTCAAAATGACAATCCAAAATAATACAAGGTTCATTTATCCTTCTACTCTGCCTGGTCGGATCTATTTTACCTCATGGTTTCTAGCAGCTGCAGAGGTGCGAGAACAGGCCAGCATAAAGCAAGCTATTTTACGAGCAATTACATCGAAACAGCCATTACAGCATGCTGGATCTAAAAGACTCAGACTCAATCTACGTATAGACTTTTAACAATCAGCATAAATACAAGTCCACACTTCACCCCATTCTAGTCACAAAAAGTCCCGCCCGATGTTTTCTCAGCGCACACTTTACACAATTAATAGCAAAATATAAATTGTAAATTCAAGGTACAATGATGAAATTCTTTCTCACACACAACTGGATGGATGGACAGACAGAAAGCAAAAGTTCTGCAAACAATCCCACAATCCTCTTAAACTCAAACACTATGAAACTTTGAATAGCTTTCAAAGAGTCAGGCAGATAGACAGACCCTTAATAACATAAAGCCAGCCAATCAGATTAGAGCCGGGCAGGTGATGCGTGAACGCTCAGCGTCTGAAGCCGATACGTGTCAGTGGGAGTGTTTGTTCTGCTCCGGCTGGGTTCTGGTCGTCTCCCGGTGGCCCTTAACGTTCAGACCAACCCCTGCAAACTCCTACAGAAGCTGCTATCTGTCAGATACGCTGAAATCACTCACAAACTGTCAACGCGGCACCTCTTTTATTCCGAAATCAACTCTATTTCTTTTCTGGCACATTGGCTTTAACATGATTTAAAGTGTAGCTGCAGGAGACGGCAGTATACTGAGGAAAAACACCATGCCAGGACTTACATAACATCACAGAAACACAAATCACGCGCTCTGCAAGAGAGGTTGAGTTGTACTCACGGGCAGTAAACGCTTCTCTGCTCTTTAGGACGGAGGCTGGTTCACAGGAGATGGAGACACGTTCTCTCCCGGGTCCACATTCCCCTCGTCTTAATGCGTCCTCGGTGGAAAATCCCACAACGGATGAAACTACAATGAGAAAAACAGAGCAGAAGAGAATATTTTCGATATTGGATTGTAGCAAATTTGCCTCGGCGCCTTTGAATATATATTTCATTTATTAGCCGCATTAGCCATCGCTATTGGTGCTATTGCTCAAACTGAGGCTTTGGGATTTGAATTGGGTATTGAAATTTGAAACGTATCTCAACCTGCACCCTACAGACATGATTGATATCTCAAATTAAATGTGTGTTATTATTACTTTCCAAAGTTATTGGACGTTTCTTCAACTATGGACACTTTTTGTTACACTTTTCAAACTCTCATTAGTTTAATTTGTTTACTAAGAACGTCCTATTAGTGAATAATAGGATTATCTTGTGGTGAATTGCCTTTTTGTTTTGTTCCAGAAATGTTCAAAATGTAGTTTCATAATGGTGTTATTTCCACCAAATCTTATTTTGATGATCCCTTTTAAACTACAAGTAACTTTGCAACTACATGTCGACTTATTCTAATACTCTAATGTACGGAAGCCCTGAACTGCAACCTAAAAAAAAAAAAAAAAATCCGTAAAAAAAAAAAATCTGTAAAAAAAAAAAAATCTGTAAAAAAAAAAAAAATCTAGCATTTCGAGATTAAAGTCGAAACATTTCGAGATTAAAGTCGAAACATTTCGAGATTAAAGTCGAAACATTTCGAGAATAAAGTCGAAACATTTCGAGAATAAAGTCGAAACATTTCGAGAATAAAGTCGAAACATTTCGAGAATAAAGTCGAAATATTTCGAGAATAAAGTCGAAACATTTCGAGATTAAAGTCGAAACATTTCGAGAATAAAGTCGAAATATTTCGAGATTAAAGTCGAAACATTTTGAGAGACGAGAGTACGAGAACAGTCTTCCGTAGAAGCTGTGCGTGTTTGCTTGCCATTGTCTCACATTGCCGCACACACAGGCATTCATAATTGCCAATAGCGAGTTTCACACTGTGTGTGTGTGTGTGTTTTGTTTCATCAAAGGAAATTCAACAGGTGCCAATCTACCAGCATTAGGCTACCATTATAGGCCGTTATAAAATATACTGCGCCGGAATAGACTTTAGCCTACAGGAAAACCAACACGGAAAACACTTTTCAGACTGGATGGAGAAATCCAGCTTTATGAATGAATGAATAGGGCATTTATATAGCGCTTTCATATATGCATACACTCAAAGTGCTTAACAATTATATCAGAGAATCTCTCCTCAACCATTAGTGGTTATTAAATCTTAGGAAATCACAGGATCCGGCCAAATGATTGGATACAGAATGATGCACTTAAAATGTAGGCTATCCAGAGCGTATTTACGGTGAAGAGGGAGACCGAACAGTTACTGTTGTGTTCTCGACCAAGATAGTGTTGACTAGACGATCACGAAAACACCTCAGAAACACTGCCACTAGCACGTGTGACGTGTGTAGAATTTTGTTGAAAGCCCAGATAAAAGTAAAAAGCTACTATTTTGGGTTTATCCATGGCAGTTCGACTTCACACACACACACACACACACACGCGCGCGCACTGCGCATGGACGCGCACTGTTATGAATGCACAATATTTCGACTTTAATCTCGAAACATTTCGACTTTAATCTCGAAATGCTAGATTTTTTTTTTTTTACAGATTTTTTTTTTTACAATTTTTTTACTGACTTTTTTTTTTTTTTTAGATTGCAGTTCAGGGCTTCCGTACTAATGAAAGTTAGTATGCACCGTTACTTATAGGCAACAGAATGTGTTAAAGGGACCATCAAAATAAAGTGAAACCCATTTCTGTAACAAAATGTTCGACTACTTTTCCTTCCTAAGGCTATTTCACAGCTAGCATTGTAGCCCTCAAACCGTATTCACTTTATAGCCCTTAATCCTGTAATTGTGGATAAATGTGGGGACAGAGGACTCAGGTGTGATCCTAATTTTTATTTATTATAAATGTTATATCAATGCTTTTAATAAAGTTTTGTCTATCAATTTATGGTGTTTTTTTTTATTTTTGGGGGTATTTTTGAATTTATTTACTTCAAAAAGTACCATATTTTCTATTTAAATTATTTCTATGCAAATTAATTACTATGTAGTTTTATTTTATGATTTTTTTTAAACTACATTAAAATATCATTCCAATAAGTTCTTAGAGCTAAAATCTAAAGATGAAGTGACTTTGCTGTCACCTGGTGTTTTATTTTGGCTTATTTTAGAATGCTCTAAATTACAGTTTTTTCCCATTCATTTCTATGTGTGCCCATTATTGACCCAAATACAAGATTAAGGATTTTTTTTCACCCACTTAACATTGTAGAACTGAGTCAAAATAAATGGTGTGTGTTCAGGAGGCAAACTTCCAATTTATTTAAAAAATAAATCAAAACTATTTTGCCCACATTTGTCCAGAATACGGTTTTAGGGTTAAAAGCACAAAATTGAATAATGTGTTGGACAAAATGCAATCTTGATTGGAAATGATACACAATAAGGGTGTAAGGATACCCTCATGTCATGATTCGATACATATCATTATACTGAACTCCCGATATGATATTGCGATACTCCAAGACATATGGTAAAAGGTTAACAAAAAATATGTACTGTTGATTAAAATGCTAAATTTGATATTACATTGTTGTCACAGTGTTGTTTGTTCCCTGGGTTAAACACTACAGGTCCTCAGTTTTCATGGTGTCTATGGATTCTCACTACAATTCCCATGATCCTGTCTGTCACTGATTATTCATTGCCTTACAGCTGTTTCTCGTCACCTTGTTAGCACTTGTGTATATTACAGTGTTTGTCACAGAGTTCTTGTACTGTATATTGTCCCCACACTCCTGTTGTTTTTGAGCCTGTTTCTAGTGTTTGTCTTTTACATTTTTGGATTTTGACCTTTGCCTGGACTGGTTGTGAGTACGGATTACCCCTTAATAAATTTTGCTATTGGATCTTGCGTTTCCTGTGTGTGTGTGCATCGTGACGATTGTGGGTTTAAATGAATAGGCTTGGACTCAGAATAACAATATACATGATTCTGAAGATGAAAATACAGAATTATTTTAGACGAATATGCTTGATCTCTGTCACTGACTAGATATTGTAAAATAAATGTAGGCCACTTTTTACTGGTAGCATAAGATATTTGGCATTATCAGGGCCCACAAATATTCCCTCATTTCATTATTATACATTATAATCATTATATTTATGTATAATGTATTACTGACACTAAAACTCGGAAAATGTTTTTCTCACACAGTCATTTTTATTTTTGGGGAACTATCCACGATACGTACTGTTGCATTTTTGTATTGTGATACAGTATATTGTGGCATGATATATTGTTACGGCCCTAATACACAATCAACATTCTGTTCACAAGTGATATTTACCTTCATTTTACTTTGTTTTCCTTACATATAGCCTAGCATGTCTCACATTTATCTCAAACTCTTTTGTTTCCTACCTTTGACAAAAAGAAATGAATGGGGGCAAAGTGTGTGTTCACACTTGTTGTTCAGTTTGTTTGGTCCGGATGCACAACAAAAACAACAACAACAACGACAAAAAAACAAAAAAACATTTAGTCCTGGTCAGCTTAGCGCTCGTATTGGCATTTTAACACTGAACCTAAAGATACTGAACTTAAAGGGATAGTTCACTTTGAAATGTATTCTTGGTGTGTTTTATCTTACCTCAAGGGCAATCCAAGATGTAGGTGTCTTTGCTTCCGCAGTATTTTAAATTTTGATATTTTTAGGTCAAACCGTTCTTGTCTGTCAGTCATATAATGGAGGTCTATGGTCACCACCTCAAAGAGCATGCACTGAGAAGTCACAATTAAACATGATTTAATGACTCGTAAATGTAAGTACACATTGATGGCCTAAGACACGAAACGAGCAGTTTGTGTGAGAAAACAAACAGTATTTATATCGTTTTTACCTCTTGTAATCACAGCCATGTCCAACTGATCTGAGGCCACGGGCGCTTCGGTCTACACATGTGCCGGAAAGCGCCAGAAGTGATCTCTCGCGCGGTTGCGAAAAAAAAATCAATTTTGTCTGTTGATATATCGAAATCCTCTTCCATTGCAATTTCCTGTATATCTAAATATGTTTAGATCTTCACTGTGAAGGGTAACACTTCCGAAATCTCTGTGTAAATAATGAGTGACGTACACGCGTGAGAGATCACCGAAGCGTCCTCGCCCTCAGATCACTTGGACATGGCTGTGGTTACAAGAGGTAAAAAAACGAAATAAATACTGTTCGTTTTCTCACACAAACCGCTTGTTTCGTGTCTTAGGCCATCAATGTGTACTTACATTTACGAGTCATTAAATCATGTTTAATTTGGACTTCTCTGTGCATGCTCTTTGAGGTGGTGACCATAGACCTCCATTATATGACTGACAGACAAGAACCTAGAACGGTTTGACCTAAAAATATCAAAATCGAAAATACTGCAGAAACAAAGACACCTACATCTTGGATGCCCTTGAGGTAAGCTAAAACATACCAACAATTAATTTCAAAGTGAACTATCCCTTTAAAGACATAGGGATAGGTTCACGACTTGATTGGTCAGGTTTTATTACGTATATTTCATTATTTCACAGCCTTAGCAACAACTAACCACACGATGACCCCAAACAGCAGTCATAATAAAGTCCCTAAAGAAATATTCCTTTATTAAACACATCCACCACGCATATTTTAAATGGAGCTACATTACATGGCCGCGGCAGTTGTGACCGTTCCTCAAGGTTTAACAGCACTCAGTGTATTTTAAATGAGACCTGCAGTATTATAACTCATAACCCTTCCGTTTGATTGGCTCTGCTGTGAGCGTTCACCGTTACTGATTGCCTCCGCCGGGAGGGTCTCTTTGTCTCCTCTTGGCTACACAATTAGAGTTTTCCCATCTCTGATTGGGCGCGAGGTGCGTAATACAGGATTCTCACACACACTGCGAGACCACCCTTCGTTTTCAG